AGGTGGGCTACATAGATAGATGAGTTAGACTTCGAGTGGAAGCCGGTAAAGGGCAAGTACAATGTGGTGGCTGATGCATTGTCCCGAAGGACTGAATTTTTCGGTGTATAGTCGTGTACGTCGACACTGGACAAGAAGTGCAGCAAAGAATTAAAGATGACTATACCGATGACCCCTACTTATGGAACATCATAACCAAAAGTAGTAGAAGGAAGAGGGACCGAAGTCCCGGAGTACAGAATGACTGACGGAGTCCTGTTTCATAAATCTGACACTCAGGACATATTATGTATATACCGAACAACAAAGAAATTCACAACCTAATACTCAGTGAATGCCATGATCCAGAAGGTCACTTCGGTTGGAGAAAGACTTATGCAAATCTGTCGAGTTCCCATATCTGGACCGGTATGAAGAGCGATTGTATTGTGTATGCGCGAAGTTGTAAAGTTGGTTAGGCCAACAAAAGTACAGCGCAACCCCCTGTCGGGACTGAAATCATTGCCTATATCGTCATGCCCAGAGAGTCGGTGTCAATAGAATTCATGAACACAAAGGTAAAGAGAAGGAACGGGAAGACACAAGTGATGGTTATAGAACTTATGGTAGATAAGTTCAGTAAATTTGATGTTTTTGTTCCGCTGCTTCCCGAAGCTAGGACAAATTTCGGAATCTGAGAGTTCTTCAACCACTGGGTTACAGACAATCGACACCCGCTTAGAATGGTTAATGATAGGGGTGTTAGGTTCACGGGAGATCAGTAGCAACAGTTTATGAAAGTCTACGGTCCAAGTTGAGTAGCAACAGTTTATGAAAGTTTACGGTCCAAGTTGACTATGTAATTCGGTTGGCACCTTGAGACAAACGGGCAGACTGAGCAAGTGAACAAACTTTTGCAACCGACACTCCACATGTACATTAGACCGGATTAGATTGATTGGGACAAGCACTTACCAAAGGTAGCTAATGCGTACAATAACTATGTGCATCTTGCGACAACACATACCCCGAATGAACTGCACAAGGGTTGGATGCCTAGGAGACCGATAGGCTGCTTGAATCTCAATCAGATTTAACGATTACCGCCTGGAACTGGGGAATTTGCACTGCAGTATGAGAAGGACCTGCAAAAAGTCGCATCACATGGTAGAACAGGCCAACAAACATCGCAGCCCTTCCAAATTTGCGGTTGGAGACTTTTGTCTGGGTCAAGTCTAAAAAGCTTCTACCATAAGGGAAAAAGCTTCTACCATAAGGGGGTATTTCTCAGAAACTCCTACCTGCGTACAGAGGGCCATGGGAGATTATGGATGTCATAGGGGATCCATATCGTATGTCTTATGTTGTTGACATACTGCTGCATCTGGATACTTATCCTATGTTTCGCACTTCTAAGGTGCTAGCTTGCATATAACTACCGATGCATTTCCTTCGTGTAGATCGATGATTCCCCCTGATATGGACGGTTGATATGGCATTGATCGTGTCGTGGACGAAGATGCCTATAGATCAGGTGGGAGAAGAAGACCGCAGCAGCAATATAAGGTCCGGTCCAATACCAGGAACCAGAAGACAACCGGTGGTACACCAAGAATGAATTGCATGAGACAGCCCAGGACATTGTCTCATACTATGAGAGGGCTACAAGAGGTGTCAGCATTGCAGATAGGCAGGAAAGTTAGCACTATTTTCGGAGAACCTCGAAATTAGGCCGACGGGAATGACAGGATTGATGTCGCAGACATTGTCCTGAGTCCCGGTTCCATCATCCCAATGGTCCCATCCCACAAAGGTAACTGACTCGGCAGACCGCGTGGCCAAAATGCCGCTTCGTAGATCCAGTACGCCGACAGAAGCTGTAGGTTGTAGGATTCAGGTAGGCCCGGTACCCGACAATCAGAGTCCATGTCCTGGTCTACAATTAGTGGCAGCATCGTGCGTAAATCCGGTGGGTTCTGGAACTAGCAAAAGTGCAGCTGACAGGCCTTGGGAGAGAGACGACCGTTACCAGTCTGGAGCCAACAAAGACCTCAATTCGGCCACTATTTAAGCTGCTACAGTACGGAGGCAGGTAGTAGCAAGTGTGTTGTCCTCCATGGGGAAAAAGGTTGTTTTCCTTTCCCCGTCGTTTTCGCTGTGGAGGGACTGGATGAAGGGTGGGAAGCTCCAGTAGGTCAAATGGAGAATGCATCATGATTGCTTGCAACTGCGTGTGTTCTGTATCGGTCTGGTTTCCTGGTTTTGCGAATATCCTCGGTTATCGGCTTTTGTACTTCAGTTCTTGTAGTGTTAGTTGTTCAAAAAAAAAAGGGTGATCATGACTTTTCCTGTTCGAGAGCTTTCGGTGTGGGCTGGCATCTTCTCTGCTTTGCAGAAGTTGTGCGACAACAGGTGTGGGAGTGCTTGTCGCTGCCATGGCACAGGTTGATGTGGATCTTGTGGCTGAACAGGAGGGGGCGGGTAGTACACTGACATCGGCTGGTGTTGGTGTGGTGTATACGCGGTGATCCAGTTTCCGCCTGAGCTTCCATAGCCGCCACTCACTGCTAAGCGGCATAAGGCATCCGACAGCAGGCCCTGCTCACGGTCAATGGAAGGGGGCGGAGTTAGCTTTTGGTCTGAGACGCATTTGATGGATTGATTTTCACAGACGGGACTCAACTACAATCCTACTCAATTAAAAAAAAGAGATGGTTGTGAAGAATTTTTGACGTTGGTGGGGAGCTGCTAAAATTGAAGATCTGAATTTAACCTGATCGCTGTCGGATGAGGGGTTTTGTGATGCGCGACTTTCTGGGCTTGCCCTCTTTTGGGTAGGGCCTTTTAGCCCGGAGGTTGGGAGCTCTGCTCTGCGAGGACTGCACAAGGGGGGCATGCAGATCCTTGAGAGGGTAGGGGTGGAATTGAGGCTTTGTTCCCTTGTGGGGTCGGGATTGGTTTTAGAGTGGGATTGGTTCAGGCGGACGCAGATGGGAACAAGATGTGCTGTTTTCAGCAGGGAGAGGGGTTCCGCGGGACGGCTCAGTTGGAGAGGGTGGGATGGAGGGTTTGGGGGAACTTCCATTCGGCGGGGAAGTACTTTATGTGGGAAATGTACGCCTCTGAGGGAGTGGGGGTGACTGCTTGGGGGTTTGTCCTTAACTGGGGCCGAGGAGGAGAAGGGGGCATCCTCTCAGCGGTGGCAGTTTTCAGGACAAAGGGTATCCTTTTCCTCGGAGGGAAGGTGGTGATCTCGGTGGCAGTGCATTACATTCTCTTTATTTTGGGCGTTAGATCAGGTGGCAGATAGTGGCAAGGGGTTGGCCTCCCTCCACAGGGGAGCAGGTAGGAGTCCTCTCCCCTTCCTCTTTGACTGTGGTGAGAACAGAGATGTCTGGGTGGGATCAGTATTCATACTTCTGCAAGGAAAATGAGCAATGGCAAAATGACAGAATCCAGATTGCACAATTACATTGAAAGCCAGAAAGTTCCACACTGTCCAGAAAGCGGAATTGCACCAATATCACACGGATGGAGAACCGAAACACTGAATCCGAGTGTCAATGAGAGCTTATTCTCGCCATCACCGACATACGTATCCAGAGCCCTTCCCCCTACTTGGCCCTCAGCGCCCAGACTACTATCCCACAGCTATTTCCAGCCTACGAATTGACAATGCAACTGTTGACGTCAGCAGCCACCGAAGTACATGAAGATGTCGCCTCTTGCAGACTATCGCCAAGACCATGTATGTGCCCTCACGTCATCATCCTCATCTCTCTCTCTCTCTCTCTCTCTCCCCCTCTCCCTTGTCTTTCACCCACGTCTTCTCCCTCGTGCACGAAGACCATCACTACTCCTTGCTGTACAACCAAGCACCGGCCAGCTATGGAAGCTGGGCTATGGCGCTGCCCTCAGCAGCGCCCTTCCTTTACATGACTGCACATGCGTGACACCTTGCTCTGCGCTAGCAGCAGCCCGCGAGCATTCGCTCCAGCAGGGCTGCCGCAAACTAGCATGTGCCCGAATGACTGGCCAGGCAGCGAGCTCTTTCCTATGTGGAAAGAGTCTGGCCTGGTCTGCTACCTGGCTGGGCTGGGCCTCTGCCCAGAAGCTTCCAGTAGGCCCTGCGTAGCTGGGCCTCTGTTGCTACTGCCCTGGGCCCTGTCTGGTTACGCCTCCCAACTGCCTGTCGTGTATACTGCTGCAGATGCGGCCCAGGGCCTGCTTCCAAGAAAAGCCTAGAAGGCCGAAACAAAGTGTTGCTGTCCAAGGCCTGGGTTCCTTCAACCAACTGACACGACGAAACTGCCTGAACCCCAAATGCGAAATTGACAACAATGGGCCTCTCGTGATTTTCTCAGGCCCGCCTTCACTTAGGGCAGGCACATATGCAAAATGGGCCCCTTATGCCTGCCGAGGAGCCAAATCCTCGCATTTCCTCCTTTACGTCGATAGTCCCCTGAGATTTCCTTCAGTTTGCAGGCATTTTCCCTTTGAGTCTTCTTTCATATCCTGCAATCACTTTGGGGAGCTGTTTGTTGCAGTTCCTCTCTGGTAAACCACCGATCTTCTCAGGCCCTGTGAAACATTCTCAAGGTTATCCCTATCATCCTTATCCCTTATTCATGTGTCAAATGCATCATTGGCAGACTGACGAGGTTTGACCTCCTGACTAGTCAGTGAAAGTCCGATGAAAAGACCGACTAGTCAGTGAAAGTCTGATGAAACAATCTGTCACAGTCACCCTTTCTTGTGGAGTTGCTGGAATTCTGTGTAGCAAAGAGAAAACACACACTCACACACATGGTTTGAGGGTCCTCGGGGTGCCTCAGCTGGGAGGGCTTGTGGTGTCAGATGGACGGTATGTTCTGGGTGAGCTGTGGGTCTAGGCCACTACTCGTTGGCCACAAAGTTGCCCCTTCTGGTGTGACAGTTAACAAAAGCCTTGCATGTTGTGGTTGCCGCACCCTTTCTCATCCTTCCATTGGTGTGCCACTTGTTGTCATTGGATGTCACAGGTGTCTTCCAGATGGAAATGTTGCGATATCGAGAAACGGATTCGCTGTTAATCCAACAGGGTCTCAGTGTTATGCCGTTGAGTGCACATGGAACGGGAACACACCGGTGCTATACGCCGTCATCTTTGGAGAGCGCGTTCTATGCCCCGAGGGACAGTATGCTACGTTGCCGGCATCCAAAGGTTTTCAGCAGGGGAAACTTGGACCTTGTCCTCCAGCTTTTGAGATTTGCGCCACACTGGGATGTGGGGGGGAATGTAGGAGTACCCAAGGAAAGTGTCTCCAAGGGAAATGTTTATGCTACCCAGGATGGGCTGGCAATGATTGTTCCCAGGCAAGCACGTTCTTCAAACCATGGCCAGCATGCTGAGAAAATTGAATTACAATTTACAAGCGTATTAGCGTAAGCTTTTGAGGTTCCAATCCTTGCTAGTAATTGAATTATATAATACAAATTATGATCCCCTTTTTGGAAGCTATTTCAAGGGTTTTTTCCCCCCCTTTCCTTCGCTTGTCCTGGATGCCGCAGCACGATTCTTGCTTGGGAATAAACCACGCAAGAACCCATAAATGGAATTCACTCATGCTTCTTCCCTTCACGTGGCTATTGATTTTTTTTAATTCCCCCCCTCCCCCTTTTTTATACACCCTTCTTTCTTTCCAGCATGGTTATGGTGAAACCAAACCCAGACAGTATCTGGACAAGATCCCAGATTACATTCTGGATACTTTCTGCGCATGCAGATCTGACGGGACCACAGGGGTGCCCAAAGGAGTATTTCTATCTTACAATGACTGGCACAGTCAGAGTCCGAGAACTCTTTATTTTTTGAGAAGTCATTACCTTTTGATCTGTTCTTGCTGAGATTTGTGTCTCCGAGTCACCGAGTGTTTTGGCTTGCCCTTGAATGAATGTATGCCATTCTGACAAGTCCCAATGTCTGCTGCATGTGTCTGCGACTCTGCATACTAAATCTGTGCCCGCACTCTGTTTCGATGTCCTCGGTAAGGTAGCTTAAATAGCGATAGGTACAGGGAGAGGACATAAATTTGGCTATAACGACACTCGCTAGTAGAGGTAGTATGGACAGGGGTTACGTAAATGGTAGGGACTCACTAGGGTCTGTTAGACTTTAGAATAACAAGTGGACCCGCCGCAGCGCAGGAGCAGGGATGTTCAAACGGTCGAGTACACATACAGAAGATGAGAGGAACTCCAGATGCAGTGTGAACACGGATTAGGTCTTTTTGTCCCCGTCTCTTTTTGTCGGCCTTTGTCTCTGTCACCATCATGGGCCCTCATGGCCGTGGTTTGTGAAGCATGGACCGTCTGTTGAAGGAGTGTCTCGGCGAGCAGCAGGAGGAACATGTCTTGAAGTAGAGGGAGCAGCAGGAGAAGGTTGTGTTGAAGAAGTCTGGAATGGTCGGAGCCGGAGTGTTGATAGCTGTTGTCATCGCCGGGGGGGGCCTTGTGCTTGGAGGTATGAGAGAGAGAGAGAGAGAGAGAGAGAGAGAGAGAGAGAGAGAGAGAGAGAGAGAGAGAGAGAGAGAGAGAGAAGCAAAAAAAAAAAAAAGGCAGGCATGTTTTGCGGGTCACACAACCGACAATCACTCAGACAGGCACACAGACAGCAAGCACGTCCACACACAGACTTAGAAAACTCAGCAGAACTGCAGGAATCTCAGCAAAGCATTCATTCCATTGGCAAAGCTCAGAAATCCCCTGGCCGGTGTCCCCCAGTGGGGGGTCCCTGAAGGCTATAAGGCCACCCTAGGCTGAAAAGGCCACTCTGGGCTGAAAAGGCCACCCGGTGTCAGATTAGACACAAGATTGAATTTACCTGGGCTGGTTAGTCCGATGATAATACCTCAAGGCCATCGCCCTTTAACAATAAAAAATAAAAAAATAAAAAAATCAGCTGTGTTTCAGTCCGTGTTTGGCAGGTCCTCACAATGTATTCAAATTTGACTTGCCGGGGAAATAGGAACCGGACCGACGCTCCCCAGAATGGATATGGAGCCAGGACCATAAGGACGTGTTTTGAATTTAAAAGAAAAGAAAAAAAAAAGTGCATTCAATACATGGTAAGCATATGCTCGGGTGTGAAGCACGCACCAGACATACAGTGCACTGAATCGAGCATGAGTGTGCACGGGGTAGCGATCGGGGAAAGGGAAGGGGCAGTAGGTGGAGAAGAGGGAAGGTGAGGCGATAGGTCTGTCAGACATACCGGCAGGAGCAAAGCAGGATTGAGGGAAGTATGGTAGTCGAAGAATGGACATCGTTTTTTATGAACGGGACAGACAGAGGTGGGGATTAGATGGACAGAGGAGAACGAAAGAGAGGGAGGCATGGATGAACAGAATCGGGAAAGGACGGGAAAAGGGGATCGCGACTAAAGCAAGTGACGGGATGATCAGGGCGAGGGAAAGTGGCGATACCATATGGAAGACGGGAAAGGACGAAGCGGGATGATCGGTGCGAGGAAAAGACATGCACGATGCCATCTATGGAAAGCGGGCAAAGGGCAGGCTGCGATGACGAGAATAGGGATGCAATCAGGGGAGATGAAACGGAGAAGCGACGAGCTTGAAAGAACGAAGAAAAATCGTGATGAATGGGAGCAGGATAGAAAGATTAGCGGCCGCAATAGTTTTAATGAATGTACGAAGCCGTCGTAGAAGGGTAGGTGCATGGGATGAAGAAACTGCCAGAAGAAAGGGTCAGTGGTAGAACAGTCGAGTAGGATATTTGATCAAACACAGCGACGAACGGAGTGGAAGCGGCATTCCGCTTACCCCTCCCGATCGTGACCACGGCTCTCCCCTCCCGATTGGCTTCCCCAGTCCCGTTCCGTCGCCGCCAGCGCACCATCGCCCGATTTCCCGGCGCTCTCTCTCTCTCTCTCTCTCTCTCTCTCTCTCTCTCTCTCTCTCTGTGTGTGTCTGTGGATGCCAACCTCCTGCCATGTCATCGTCCCTGCCTCGTTTCTCCCCCCTCTCA